TCTCTCTCTCTCTCTCTCTCTCTCTCTCTCTCTCTCTCTCTCTCTCTCTGTGTGTGTGTGTGTGTGTTTTCTAGGTATAAATGTGGGCATGTGTATACCACAGAGAACAAGCCTGAGTATCAGTCCTAACCTACCATCTTGTTTCAGAAAGGGTCTCTTGCTCTTTGCTAGTATATATGCCTGACAAGCTGGCCCACCAACTTTCAGGGGTTCTCCTATCTCTGCCTTTTCTTTTGTCATAGGAGTGGTGGCATTGCAGTCATACAGTGTGCTGCCTGACTTTTTATACGTTCCAGAGTTCTGAGCTCATGCTTCCATAGCGAGCGCTTAGACCACCAAGCCACCCCAGTCCCATTTCTTTTCTCTGACGTTGATTCCTTTGGGTAAATTCTCCAGGAATATAATGATCAGATTCAAGGCTATAAATATTTTTTGTGGCTTTTGATTCATATTAACAGATGGCTTTTCTTCAACAACTCTTTCTTGTTGTAATGCCACCAGAATTAATGTAATCAGATATTTGCAAGACCACATTATTCACTGTATTCTTATGTATTTTTAAATGTTACAAGCTGTTTTACTTATGTGAGGTTTCTTAATCCATTCTAATCCCATTCACGATGGCTAAGATTTATAAAATTGAAGTCTTTTACCACAGACTAAGAGAAAATCCCAGGCAGCTTTCTAGGCAGAACCCTGTGACTATTTGGATGTTGTAACAGTTTGACTCTTTAAGAGTTTTTGACAATATGATTGAATATGCACACAATAAGCCCACTTAATATGGAGTGGGGCATATTTGAATTATTTTGCCAAAATGGTGGCAGACTAGTTTTAAAATAGATATGAGAAATGAATGCATTTTTCACCGTTCCAAAGCATGAACACACTTTCATTATGAAACATTTTTTTACATGATGCTTCAGTAATATCAATTCTAGAATATCAATACTCCTAGCTTTCACATAACGAATTCTAACAACTGTATATAATAAAGATCCATTTTCAAAACAAAATTCAGTTATACAACAACATGCAGGCAGTGCTATAAATGGTCCCCTAATCTTTGTTTTTCTTTTAGTAAATTTCTGCTTAGTTTTTAAGTTCAAGCTATGTCATGCATGCACTAGTGTTCACCTATAGGTTAGGAACTATATAGTGTTCATGTATATACCTATATATTGTATCTTAGGTTAAATGTAAAGATCAGATTATAGCAGTATTGGCAACTGTCTCTACTGTATGATGATGACCAGTTGCATAGAACTGTGTTTAGGACTCCCTGTCACCTCCCTGTACTAACTCAGTGAACAGCTATTACCCCTCTTGCTGTAGTGTCTCTACTCGGATTTGGTTGTCAGGATGTGGGAGAGGCTATGGAACTGAAGCTCTGTTTTCCCTGGTAAGGAGGCCAGTCTGTTCCACCTCTGCTTTTGCTCGTTGCCCCTACTTCAGTGCTCTGCCTCTTTTTACTTGATTACTTGCCTTCTCTGTAATAGCAGCACTCTCAGCATCAGCATTTGAACTCAGTCCATCTCGCATATTGATTGAATGCCTCTGTGCTTGCTGGCAGGCTCCTGGAAACCTCTTTTTGTTAGATTGGGAAGAAATTGACCAATAGATGCCCAGTGATAACAAGTGACTTTTTATTTGCTCCTTGCTTTTTTTTTCTCCCTTAATTTCCTTCTTTGAGCATTTAAAATTGGAAAAAAAGAGAGCAAGAAAACAAAGTGTTTCTTTTGAATCCTTTCCGTTGCTGTCCTTATCTTGTTTTTCAGTCGGCTCACTGCATGTGCACACACATTATTATCCTAGGAAGCCTAAGTACACACTATAGTGCCTTTCTTTGGTGAGAATGTCCTTTTATGTACTTTAGAGAAAAGTATTACCACATGGCAAGTGTCCTTAAAAGTCTCCAATTTCTTTCCATTTTCTACTGAATAAATTTTAGTTCTTTATTTTAGCCCTCAGATCTTTTCTAATGTAGTTCTATAACCATTTGCTTTGAAACATTGCATGTGCTACCTTAGAGCAGCTACACTTCACTGTTTGCATTCAGCATGATTATAAGTAATATCATAACTTTTGTTACTTGTAAAATTTTGCTTTTATTCCAATGAATGTACTTACTGAATTCTTGATCTTTTGGGGAGAGTACAGTGGGCAAGCTTTGGAGGTTTTGGTTTTATGTTTGAACAACTTAACTGTCCTTTTAGCCTCCCTTAACTTATAGTATGGTTAGACTCTCATCTTTATCTGCCACATCTTTCCCAGATATGTTCTTTCTGATACCTTTTCCCAGCCTGCTCTCAAGAGCACACACCAAACATTTCATCACATTTGTCTTGGGTCCTGGATAGAATAAGATGTGTTGTATAACAAAATGGGATAGACAAGAATTGTTGAGGGGGTGGTAAGGTCAAGTATTGATGAACTGCATGTTTATAGTAGAGTGGACCCAGACAAGGCTTATCTTATTGGGAGCCTCTTAACTTGCAATCATTTCCCATCCATTTGAATGGCTCCATTGTGAATGTTTCCTTCAGAATCCTTGTGCTGGCCCTGGCCTGCTTTCCCTCAACCAGGTGCTCTGGTGGTCACCTTGCCTTTCATTGTGTCAAAGGCAGGCAAATACAATGTTTGCACTGGGAAAGATAACAACAGTGAGAATGCCCTCTGCCCTCTGTTTGAAGTGGAAGACCTTGGGAATTAATCCCTCCTTCTGCAAGCTTGTGTTCAAAGGCTGCTATATCTGCTAGCATGGGGAGGCAGTGAAGTGTTTGTTTCTCTTATTGATTCTTTTTTTTTGTACTTCAGGTGTTGACTTTAAAGTGTAGTTCTTCTGTGTCCTTTGTTTCTTGCCACCATATAGAAAACTTACATTTTCCTGTGCTAATCCAGTTAGAAAGGTATGGAAACTTCTAGTTTTTGTTCTACTTGAAGCAAGGAGAAAGGTGAATTTCTATGGACCAAGGTCTCTGGGTGATCTTCAGAAGATTCCCTCAGTTCTATATACCCTCACCATCTGCTTACAAAAATGAAAAGGAAGTCACCCATCAGATCTAGAAAATAACAAAAAAAGAATAATGTCCTGTGTGGTAGCGCGAGCGCGTGCGCGCGTGCACACACACACACACACACACACACACACACACATATATATATATATATATTTTTTTTTTTCCCATTACATAGGAGGCAGAAGGATCACTACAAGTTTGAGGCTACCCTGAGCTACATAGTGAGTTAGAAGCCATCCTGGGTTACATAGCAAGACCTTCTAAAAAGAACAAACAGGAGTCTGAGGAGAGTTGATAATGTACTTGTACTGTGTTAAGATCTTAGAACTGAGTTTGGATTCCTTACATGCATGTAAAAGTCCAGGTATGGCAACATGTGCATGTAATCCCAGAGCCTTTTATCTTGCTGGCCAGACTGGATCTCACCAGTTCAGCAAGAGGGTCAATCTCAAAAGATAAGATAGAGAGCCGGTAAATAAATACACTTACCACAAAAGCCTAGCAACCTGAGTTGAAACCTACAAACCCACATAAAGGTGGAAGGAGGGATTTGATTCTGCAAAGATGTCTTCTGAAGTCCACACTGCATGCCATGATGCTTCCCCCTCCCTTGCACACTGAAAAGGTAGTAAAAATGAAACCATGTCTGTAGATATCGAAACCACTTATCCAAGGTAAGTTTGTGGCATCTTCAGTAATCATACTAAGTGAAGCTGTCAGCACACTGCTGTCAGTGCATTCACTGGGAAGTTGCCTCCTTTTGTGATGGAAACCTTTTGAAACTTGGCTGTTTTATAATACAGCTTCAACTAGTGTGTGATTACTTTGTTCCTGTTTCCTATTTCCTTGCAAAAAGGACATTGAGACAGGATATTGATCGATCTTTCAGGCCATAATAAAGCCAAACTCGTTGTGGCAGTAGGTCCCACATGGCCTGAAAGAACCTTCGGGTTGTCTACGTCTTTCCTTTTTCAGACCACAAAATGGTGCTCAAGGAGACATGGTGAATATATTTTATACTATACCATTATACCAACTAATGGGATTAACCAGTTCCAATACTGGTCTGGACTAATAAATAAAGGACCATTGTGTTGATATAATACTTTATATCAGGTTAAGGTTGCAGTGGAATGACATAAATTAATTAATATCTCCCCTTTAACATACACACTTTTATAACAAATACATGACACACTGGTTAAGAGTACATACTGCTCTTGCAGAAAACCAGAGTGTGGTTCCTAGCACCCATGCTAGGTGACTCACAACTGCCTGTATCCCCTGGTCCAGGGGAATCTGACACTGTCTTTTGTACTCCACTGGCATCTGCACTCACATGCACATACCTATAGACAGTCACCTATATATAAGTAACTAAATAAAAAACCCTTTAATCCATTTGGTTGTGTCTTGTCTGTT